TGCCTAGCCTTTTCTATTGCACTTAGTGAAAGTGGTGCAACATTTTCTTGCTTGGTTTGGTGAATATTTTTGTTAGAAGAATGGAGGAATTATAGAGAAAAAAGGATACCATAACAGTTTAAAAGAGGATCTTCTCAAAATATTATGAGTTTATTTATTTATTAAAAAGTTTTGCAAATAGAATTTGTCCTAAGGGATGTTTGTGATTGGAAAATAACTTCATTTTGGAGTGATCGGGTCATGGTGTAGATCGTTAGTAGAATTTCCCATTTGTGGATATCACTAGGAAGAATTGCTTGTAATTCTACACATTTCCATGTTTGATTCATTAAATTCATGTTACTTCAACATTTTAATTATCTTGTTGTAAATAAACGATTTCGCTATTATGGACGTTGACTGTTGACGGTCAATAGTCAACGTTCACCATAGCTGACCTACAATCATGAATTCACCACCGACCATAAACAAAATATTATTTCCTAAAGAGCCAATAGAAGTTGATTAGCAAGCAAATTGTTGACGTACAAATTGATCTTTTAAATACTCTACCTTGAATAAAATAAGTAATTCTTTAAAAAAAATTTGGGTGAACTATTGAAACCAAACTAACATTTCCAAATGACTTGGCTGGATTTTAAAATAGTGAAAATCTAAACCACGATAACCCAAGCAACGATTTTAAATCGCGATTTGGGTTTGGTTTGGCAGGTTAGCAATTTTTCATTCACCCCTCTTACCTGGAGACCTGGAGAAAATAAATTGAGGCAAAGGTGAGCAAATATTCTATTAGCGTGTTTTGAAATGAAGAAAAATATTTGTGCGAACTTTTATATTGTTATGTGTTATTTTTTTAGTAAAAAATAAATTTTTTATTCTTTTTTAACGAAATTTTTGGACGGTAATCATCATCAGATACAAAATGTGGTAATTAATAGAATGTTAAAAATATAAAAAGAAAAAAAAATGTTGAATACATAAATTTAATAATGAGCAAAAATTGTGAACCTTTCATAAAATTAAAATGTGACGCACTTATACAAAATTGTGATGTTTTGCCATGTGCTCATTCTTTTTTTACTTTTTCTCAGAAAACATGTTTAATTCGAGAAGTTCTGTTGTTTTCTCCTTTTAGAATTAGTCTACAAGTACACAATACATTACATAATCCTTTACACTTGTTGAGCTGGCGTCTTCCTCAATCAAAAATTTTTTTTAAGTCAATTTCTCGCGAAAAATAAAAATGAAATCAGATTTGTCTAAAAAAACCCTCCCTTCATCACATATCCTTCGACTTCATTTTAGAGGGAAAAAAATGGAAGTGGGGAGAACTTACAGTCACAATATTTGGAAAATGAGGCCGACGAAATCAATGCCAGAAGATTCGACGCCAGCAAGTACAATGATTTGAGCCCAACACAATTTCCCCCATCAGTTGCAAGTGAGTCGTTTTCTCAAGTGAGCGAAAATGAAAACACCTACCCATTAGTCGAAGGTGATGACACCAACGTCGACGCCGACGATCTTGAGGTCGACGAGATCGGAGCCGACGATTTTGATGGTGAGGAGAATGCAGGTACCCATTAGTTTGTATTTTTAAAAATCTTATATTGTGCACATTATTGAACTAAACAGTGATCTGAAATGTGTAATTCATTTTAGTTCTTCAAACATTTATTTCCATTCAAAAGAAGAAAGGAAAAGAAAAAACCCTCTTTTCGTCTCTGTAGTTCAAAAAATGGAAGCTCCCTCAGATTCCAATTTGTTCTTGCTGTGTGCATTGTTGATTTCAGTTGTACAATCCATACATTGCAGTTGTTCTTGCTCTGTGCATTTATATGTTTTTGGTTTGAGGAAATTTATATGCAGGTTATGAAGGAATTGACATTATTGTGCCAAGGCCTGGAATGAAGTTCAAAGACGAAAATGAAAATTTTGAATTCTACAAGAAATATGCATACCAAGTCGGGTTTCCTGTCAGAAAAAGAAATTCAAGGAAGGGTGAAGGCGGGATAGTACGATATATATGCTTCACATGTAGTCGAGAAGGACCACGAACCACTGCTACAAGTTCTTCTTTAAATCCTCAGCCAACAATCCAAATTGGATGTAAAGCGAGGGTGACAGCATGTTCGGAGATAGGTGGAACATGGCGTATTAACACTGCCTATCTCGAGCACAATCATAGAACAAGCCTATCTAAATCGAGATTATATCGATGTAATCGCGAAATTAGTGCTCGCATCAGAAAACAGCTCGAAATAAATGACATTGCTGGAATTCCATTGCACAAAAGCTTTAACTCCGCCGTAGTTGAAGCCGATGGATATGACAAGATGGCGTGCGTTGAAAAAGATTGTAGAAATTCTATTGACAAAGTGCGATGGTTAAGGCTTGGTGAGGGAGACGCCACTGCAATTCAAGCATTTTTCTCAAGAATGCAAACAAGTACTCTTGACTTCTATTTTAGTATAGATTTGGATGAAGATTGTCGGTTGAGGAATGTGTTTGGGACGGATAACAGATGTAAAGAAGCCTATAAGGAATTTGGTAATGTGGTCACTTTTGACACCACGTACTTGACCAACAAATAGGACATGCCCTTCTCTCCATTTGTTGGAGTTAATCATCAAGCCAATCAACGCTTCTTGGATGCGGCCTAATTTCGAATGAATATACTTGGACTTTTGTATGGTTGTTTAAGACATTGTTGGAATGCATGCACGATCAAGCTCCAAATGAAATTATAACGGATCAAGATCGGGCTATGCAAAATGCAATTGAGATCGTTTTCCCAAACACGAGACACAGATAGTGTTTGTGGCATAATTTAAAGAAGTTGCCAGAAAAGTTTGGCAACCATAGGCACAAAAATTCTATTCTTTCTAGTGTACACGGGTTGGTGTATGATACACAAAGTCCTCTAGAGTTTGAGGAAAAATGGCATACGATGCTTGTATGTTATGAATTGCAAGAACATGGTTGGTTGATTGGACTTTACAATGATAGAAGGCGTTAGGTGCCATGTTATTTGAAAAATTCATTTTGGGCTCGTATGTTGACCACCCAACGAAGCGCGGGCATAAATGTCTTTTTTGATGGATATGTTCATTCAAAAACTTCCCTGAAACAATTGTAGAACAATATGAGCGGACGTTGAGAAGTAAAGTTGAAAAAGAGTTTCAAACTGATTTCAAATCATTTTCACAGATGGTCCCTTGTGCAACAAGGTATGATATGGAGAAACAGTTTCAATCAGTGTACACGATCTCTAAGTTCAAAGAGTTCCCGTAAGAGTTTACGGGAAAGGTGTATTTTGAGATCTTATCTGTGACGGACTCATATTTTAACTCCATTTACGAGGTTCGTGAGGATATCATTAGCAATGAAGGCATGAAGAAACAAATTTTTACAGTTTCATTTCGTAGGGAAAATTGTGAATTTGAATGTAGTTGCCATTTATTTGAGTTTAGAGGAATCATTTGCAAGCATGCAATCTCAGTTTTAATCCGTAACGATGTGGTGTTAATTCTGGAGAGATATATATTGAAGAGGTGGAGACGAGATGTGAACCGACCTTACATGAGGGTTCCCATCAAATATGATGGTTTTGTCAGTAGCGCCGAGCATGTTAGATATGAGCAACTATGCAATACGTTTACCAAGTTAGCAGATGTGATAGCACATGACGAACAACGATGTAGGAGAATTATGGATTTGATCATGTTCGAAACAACAGAAGCATCTCAGTCGAAGTGTATTAATGTTGGCTCTCAATTTGTGACTCAGTAGCATGTGCTAGCAGAAATATATTGGATCCAAAGTGCACGAAACGCAAAGGAGCCCCTAGAAAACTTCGTAGACAGGGCCATCTAGAAACTAGTTCGAGTAAATCTAAAAGTTCTCGAAAGGTATGAAATTCATTCAAGCTTTACAACATACTTTTAGCTTGCAAAGTTGCTGAAATTTTTTCCCCCTGTTGTACAGGTGCCCATGTGTAAAAGGCAGAACAAAGGGGTTTCATCCATGTTCACCACTGAAGATGTTGGGACACGGGACAGCTTTGAAGTGTCGTGATAGAAATCAATAAATAGCAACATGATTTCTTTTGGGGGGCTAAAGATGATGATGTGCAATGTAGAAAAATCTGGTTATGTGAATTTATGTACAATATTAATTATTGATTGTATAAGTTTTTGGGTTCTTCTTAGGCGTTATGTAAGTTTTTGGGGCTAAAGATGATGTTGGGGGGCTGAATATTATTATGAATTTTTGCTCTCTCCCCCTCCCCCCCCCCCC